GTGGGCGGCTCCCTGCCTCAGTGTTTGTGTGGGCGGCTCCCTGCCTCAGTGTTTGTGTGGGCGGCTCCCTGCCTCAGTGTTTGTGTGTCCAGTGTTTGTGTGGGCGGCTCCCTGCCTCAGTGTTTGTGTGGGCGGCTCCCTGCCTCCAGTGTTTGTGTGGGCGCAGTCTCCTGCCTCAGTGTTTGTGTGGGCGGCTCCTGCCTCAGTGTTTGTGTGGGCAGCTCCTGCCTCCAGTGTTTGTGTGGGCGGCTCCCTGCCTCAGTGTTTGTGGGCGGCTCCTGCCTCGAGGTGTTTGTGTGGGCGGCTCCCTGCCTCAGTGTTTGTGTGGAGCTCCTGCCTCCAGTGTTTGTGTAAGTGTTTGTGTGGGCAGCTCCCTGCCTCCAGTGTTTGTGTGGCATTTGTGTGGGCTCCTGCCTCAGTGTTTGTGTGGCAGCTCCCTGCCCCCAGTGTTTGTGTGGGCGGCTCCCTGCCTCCAGTGTTTGTGTGAGTGTTTGTGGGGCGGCTCCCTGCCTCAGTGTTTGTGGGCAGCTCCTAGTGTTTGTGTGGTGGTGTGGGCAGCTCCCTGCCTCAGTGTTTGTGTGGGCAGTGTTTGTGTGGGCAGCTCCCTGCCTCAGTGTTTGTGTGGGCGGCTCCCTGCCTCAGTGTTTGTGGGCGGCTCCTGCCTCCCAGTGTTTGTGGTGGGCGGTGTGGGCGGCTCCCTGCCTCCAGTGTTTGTGTGGGCGCTCCTGCCTCAGTGTTTGTGTGGGCGGCTCCCTGCCTCCAGTGTTTGTGTGGGCGGCTCCTGCCTCTGTTTGTGTGGGCGGCTGCCTCAGTGTTTATGTAAACGCTCAGTGTTTGTGTGGGCGGCTCCCCTCAGCGCTCAGTGTTTGTGTGGGCAGTGTTTGTGTGGGGCTCCCTGCCCTCAGTGTTTGTGTGGGCAGCTCCTGCCTCAGTGTTTGTGTCCCTGCCTCAGTGTTGTGTGGGCGGCTCCCTGCCTCCAGTGTTTGTGTGGCAGCTCCCTGCCTCCAGTGTTTGTGTGGGCGCCCTGCCTCAGTGTTTTCAGCTCCCTGCCTCAGGTGTTTGTGTGGGCAGCTCCCTGCCTCAGTGTTTGTGTGGGTGGCTCCCTGCCTCAGTGTGACTGTGTGTGGTGTGACTGTGTGTGTGTGTGTGTGTGTGTGTGTGTGTGTGTGTGTGTGTGTGTGTGTGTGTGTGTGTGTGCGCTCCTGCCTCAGTGTGTGTGTGTGTGTGTGTGTGTGTGTGTGTGTGTGTGTGTGTGTGTGTGTGTGTGTGGGCCGCTCCCGTTATCCTGTAAGCAGATTAATTTATAGATATTATTACAAGCAAATGAGCTTGTTAAATAGATTATTAAGAATGCTGTCATGCTCAGAATTAATAATTAGGGTTGTAAATTAGATAGATTAATAATAAATGGCGCCTTGGCCTACTAAAATTACGGATAGACGAGTTTGTTCAAATTTAAGAATTATGCCAATAAAGTGCTAGATCGTTAAATAAATGAGGCCAATAAAATTAGTAAAAATTACGGTGATTAGTTAGATAAATAAAAAAATAATAATATTGATAGTGATTCTAACTTTGTAGAGAAGAGAAGTAAAATAATTGTATAGAAAATATTACTCCGGTATCCCGACAACTCTCGACTCATGAAACTGAGGACAATGAGGGGAGGGTAAGGTCATCCATATACAGTATGTATGAGTACACTTCACAACCTCTCATCTATATATATATGTATGTGTCACAACCCGGGTCTTATCTCAACATACCCTCGTCTTATGTACGAGGGAGGAGGAGGAAAGAAAAAAAAGGTGATGAAGAGGGGAAGAGGAGCCGAGGGGAAAAGGAGAAGAGGGGAAGAGGAAAACTTTGAGAGTAAGGTTGAAGGGTAGAATTAGGGTGTGTGTGTGTGTGTGTGTGTGTGTGTGTGTGTGTGTGTGTGTGTGTGTGTGTGTGTGTGTGTGTGTGTGTGTGTGTGTGTGTGTGTGTGTGTGTGTGTGTGTGTGACGAGAGTAGTAAAGTAACACTAAAATCCTCCTCCTCCTCCTGTCATGTCTGTGTGTGTATTTATCCGGGAGCCAAATAAGAAGCAAAAACATTCTTAAAGGTTTGTAAATTAATACTTCTGACTGACTGACTGACTGATTGACTGACTGACTGACTGACTGACTGAGGGACGCCACCGCTGGGAGACCATAACAGTAAACATTAGTAGAGGCGGTGAGCATCACACACACACACACACACACACACACACACACACACACACACTCACACACACACACACTGGAATTTCAACCTCATTTCCAACGTGATTTACAAGTTTTGCCTGAACACTTGACTCACTACACTCACTTGACTCACTTGACTCACTTCACTTACTTGACTCACTTGATTCACTTCGCTCACTTGACTCACTACACTCACTTGACTCACTTGATTCACTTCGCTCACTTGACTCACTACACTCACTTGTCTCACTACACTCACTCTTGACTCACTACACTCACTCTTGACTCACTCTTAACTCACTCTTGACTCACTCTTAACTCACTCTTGACTCACTCTTAACTCATTCTTGACTCACTCTTGACTCACTACCCTGTTCATTTAAAAATAGCGCCAGTTGCCTCGGTGTTAGTGGTATACAGTGAGGTTATGTTGTGTTGTGTTACGTTGTGTTGTGTTGTGTTACATTGCGTTACGTTGTGTTGTGTTGTGTTGTGTTAATTAGTACCGCCGGAATGAAGATTGTCCCTCCCCCTCCCCCCCCACCTAAGAGAGCCTGCCCCATCACCCCCCCCCTCCCCCCAATGACATGCTGTTGGTCGGTGTGGGGGTTATGTGGTGGGGTGTGTATATGTGTGTGTGTGTGTCTTTGTGTGTGTCCTAACTCAAACCTAACCTAACCTCAGCTAACCTAACCTGACCTAACTCCTCAAGTAATATTAGGGTAATTAATCTAGAGGTAAAATATGCTAGCGTGTCTAATCTTGAGGTGATCCAAACTTTTACCCACACTTGGAGGACGTTGAGGGAGGAGGGTGTGAGGGAGGAGGGTGTGAGGGAGGAAGGTGTGAGGGAGGAGGGTGTGAGGGAGGAAGGTGTGAGGGAGGAGGGTGTGAGAGGGAGGAAGGTGTGAGGGAGGAGGAGGGGGAGGGGGGAGGAGGGAGAGGAGGAGGTGTGAGGGAGAGGGAGGGTGTGAGGGGAGAGGGTGAGGGAGGGAGGGTGTGAGGGGAGGAGGAGGGAGGGGAGGTGTGAGGGAAAGGGGGAGGAGGGTGTGAAGGAGGAGGGGAGGTGTGAGGGAGGGAGGGAGGGAAGGAGGGGAGGGGAGGGTGTGAGGGAGGGGTGAGGGAGGGGAGGAGGAGGAGAGGTAGGGTGTGAGGGAGGAGGGTGTGAGGGGAGGGTGTGAGGGAGGGAGGGTGTGAGGGAGGGGGTGTGAGGGAGGGGAGGGTGTGAGGGAGGGAGGGAGGTGTGGGGAGGGGAGGAGGGGTGTGGGGAGGGTGTGAGGAGGGAGAGGTGTGAGGGAGGGAGGAGGGAGGAAGGTGTGAGGGGAGGGAAGGGGGGTGTGGGGGAGGAGGGTGGGAGGGAGGAAGGGGTGAGGGAGGAGGGGGGTGTGAGGGGAGGAAGGTGTGAGGAGGGAGGAGGTGTGAGGGAGGAGGGGAGGGAGGAGGGGTGTGGGGGAGGAGGGGAGGAGGGTGGGTGGGGAGGAGGGAGGTGGTGAGGGAGGGGGTGAAGGTGAGGGAGGAGGGTGGAGGAGGTGGTGAGGGGAGGGAGGAGGTGTGAGGGAGGAGGGGTGTGGAGGGAGGAGGGAGGAGGGTGTGAGGGAGGGAGGGTGTGAGGAAGGTGTGAGGGAGGAAGGTGTGAGGGAGGAAGGGGAGGAGAAGGGTGTGAGGGAGGAAGAGGGTGAAAGATGAAGAGAGGTGACGCAGTGTAGCAGTGTCCTCCATCACCCTCACCCTACACACTGCGGCACTGCTCTCGCCCCTCCCTCTCCTCTCCCTATAGTGAGGCTGTTCCGTCTGCCGCTGGCTGTGTATGGCGTGGCTGTGTTGTGTGTCTGGTCATGTTGTTGAGACTGTGTTGTGTGTATGGTCGTATGGTTGAGACTGTGTTGTGTGTCTGGTCGTATTGTTGAGACTGTGTTGTGTGTATGGTCGTATGGTTGAACTGTGTTGTGTGTCTGGTCGTATTGTTGAGACTGTGTTGTGTATGGTCGTATGGTTGGGAGACCTGTGTTGTGTGTTTGGTCGTATGGTTGAGGCTGTGTTGTGTGTATGGTCGTATGGTTGAGGCTGTGTTGTGTGTATGGTCGTATGGTTGAGGCTGTGTTGTGTGTATGGTCGTATGGTTGAGACTGTGTTGTGTGTTTGGTCGTATGGTTGAGGCTGTGTTGTGTGTATGGTCGTATGGTTGAGGCTGTGTTGTGTGACTGTGGAGTGTACTTAGGGAGAGATAAAGACCAAATATTGTCGATGTGTTGCTTCTGATCACCTGTTGTTACGGAGATCACCTGGAGATTAGTTAACTCACCTCCCCAGTTTATTTCACCTCATGATTAACCACTCTAACGCTACCTTGGGGGGTTAGGTTAGGTTAGTTTGGGTTAGGTTAGGTTAGTTTGGGTTAGGTTAGGTTAGATTAGTTTGGGTTAGGTTAGATTAGAGTGGGTTAGATTAGTTTGGGTTAGGTTAGTTTGGGTTAGGTTAGTTTGGGTTAGGTTAGGTTATAAACAGGGGGGGCTAATCTACAGGTGATCCTCTTACCCAACATACAGCACGTCAAGTTTATGTTGATGGTGTCACAGTGATTACAGGTGTGGTGAAGGTGAACAGGTAACACCTTCCAGAGTTGTTAAACCTTTTAGTATGACTGCGATATCCGCCATCTTGGAAATATTGTTATCGCTGCACTTCGTAAACTGTTTGGTTGATTTTCTTGAAACTGTAGAAACATGTAAAAATATGTTTTAGAATGACGGTGTGTTGTTAAAAATTGCCGCCATGATCTTCAAGCCATTTCACGAGGCTGTTGGTGAAGGACATGTTGAAGGTCATTCAATATGGCCGCCGTCAAGGTCATCCAATATGGCCGCCGTCAAGGTCATCCAATATGGCCGCCGTCAAGGTCATCCAATATGGCCAATGTCAAGGTCATCCAATATGGCCAATGTCAAGGTCATCCAATATGGCCGCCGTCAAGGTCATCCAATATGGCCGCCGTCAAGGTCATCCAATATGGCATCAATGTCAAGAAATCCATCGCCGTCAATCATCCAATATGGCCGCCGTCAAGGTCATCAATATGGCCGCTTGAGAATCTTCTTACATATTCTTCTCATAAAGTTGCTCTCCGATATTCTCTACACTTCACGACGAGCGCTGGCCGGGGAGGGGGAGGGGGGGGGGTGGTCTGGGTGTGTCTCTTGTGGCGGGATATGACGCTGTAACACCCAAAATAATCGTCGTCTTCTATAAAATATTTAATGTTCTCTTTCCCTAAACTTTCTGTTCATTTTGACCAAACTTGAGATGAATTAGACCTAACTAAGTACGTGTTATGATATTCACTAACTAACTTATCAAGCCCTTGGTAGCACACACACACACACACACACACTAACGAACTTGTCATGCCCTTGGTAAGATTTACAACATATAAACTTATCAAGGATTAGTTAAATGTGTATCACGATTGTACACTCACGCCTCTGAAAATAGTACAGCATAGTTTTGTTCTTTATTCCCCGTCATATTTTCTGATCTTTTGTGTCCACTTTTCAGGAGACATTACCGACAGAACATCGTGAAGCGGCGCTGTTGGAGGAGGTTATATTATCCTGATGACTCTCTGTGTTATCAAGAGTGGTGTGGAGAGTCGGGTGTTGTTTGTCATCACACATTCTTGTTTGTGTAGCTGTGTGTGTGTGTGTGTGTGTGTGTGTGTGTGTTGTAGAGGCAAGGGGTTGTGGTAGAGGCAGGAGGCAGGAGGGGAGAGAGACGGTACAAGGACACGTCACGCTGACTGGAATGTAACTAACTCAGCCTCCTGCCAGGTATAGCACACGCAGTCAGCAGTGCCTTACGCTTCCCTCTAACCCGCAGTGAGAGTCGTATACTACGCCTGTCGGACGTTCGCCAGTCATCTGCTTGTACTGATATAAAAGTCAGTCTGTATTACATCCACTGGCATGTTTACGACGCTGTGTTAACGTGCTGATGGTGTGTGAGGGATAGAGCCTGGTAGGTGTTGGTGAGGGATAGAGCCTGGTAGGTGTTGGTGAGGGATAGAGCCTGGTAGGTGTTGGTGAGGGAGTCAGGTGAGAGTTGGTGGAGGTCGGCAGTTGAAGGAGGAGGTGGGCAGGTGAGGGAAGTGGTGAAGGTAGTAGTAGGCAGGTGAGGGAGTTGGACAGTTGGGGGAGGTGATGGGGGTGACGGTGGGAAGGTGAGGGAGGTGGTGAGGGTGATGGTGGACAGGCCCCGCCTGCCACATCTTTAATTACCTGTGCAGGATGTGGCCCCACACGCTGCCCTCCTGACAAGACGGAGACACTCCTCTAGGCCCCACATTCCCGACATCTCAGCAGGAGTCCCTACACCTCCCTGGGGGTCATAGTCTCTCATATCCTCCCACCTTGTCGAAATAGCTCATCATTTACAATTATGCTGGTAACCTGAACACACACTAGGGGGGACAGTTAGAGTTGTGTCACCACTTGGTAGTCCGGCGAGGGAGGTGTAGGGTGGTGGTGGTGGGTTGGTGATAGTGGTGGCGGTGATGGTGATAGTGGTGGTGGTGGGGATGGTGATAGTAGTGGTGGTGGGGATGGTGATAGTAGTGGTGGTGGGGATGGTGATAGTAGTAGTGGTGGGGATGGTGATAGTAGTGGTGGGGGTGTTATTTCCTCACTGCTCTAGGTAGGGTTATTATATAGGGAGAGTTAGTTAGTGGTGGGGGGGATGAGTTTATTTTAGTACACACTTTCACGGTGCTTATTCATCTCCCCCCCTCCTCCCCCCTCCCCACCCCTCCCCCACCCTCCCTCAACCACCTCACGGTATTGGGAATAGATAGACAGACAAGTTTACTGACCACAAGTGAAACAGCACCTGTAACAGACAGACTTAACTTACTGTTCAACAAAAAATAAAACGTTAATGTCAAATCATCGCGACAGTGTAGTTAGTCTTATGTGCTGCCTCTCACCTCTCCTGCCTCGCTGCTGGTGATGCCTCTACTGTTACTTCCTCGCCTTTTCTGCCTCTTTTTTTATTCGTGATGCGGTTATGGTGTGACGCAGTTATGATATGATGTTGTTATGGTATGATGCGGTCATGGTGTCATGTTATTGTGTGACGCAGTTATGGTGTGGCACAGTTATAGTGTGACGCAGCTATGGTGTGACACAGTTATAGTGTGACGCAGCTATGGTGTGACACAGTTATGGTGCCACTAGACAAATAATGTTATAGTTGGTAATTGTGTTCACATAACAGGCATTACCGTCATGAGTGCCAGTTATCACATTACATTATCCCTCATGGCAAGACCTAACAAGCTTGGCGGAGGCACTCGTGTTGACAGTCAGCAGGTGCCGCATCAGTCAGTCTGTGTGTTTAACCGGGCACAGCTACGACACATTTACTGCGTGTTGTGGGGAATATCTTACTTTAGCCCCCTTAACACACGAGGCTTAGAGCTCTCTCTCACCCCCTCCCCTTCTTCACTTACTTCTTTCTCTATCATTTTCTCCTACAAATCTCCTTTTCCCTCCTCCCCGCGCCTCCTCCTTCTCTTCCCCACACCTCCTCCTTTCTCCTTCCCCTTCTCCTACATCTCCTTTCCTCCTCCCCTCCCCGCCCCCTCTCTTCCTCCTACATCTCCTCCTTCCCTCCTCCCCGCGCCACCTCCTTACCTCCCCTTCCTCCACACACCTCCTCCCTCCTCATCATGGCATTCCTCTTTTATAGTGCCAAATATTTCTTGCCGTAATAATGTCATTACTCAGCGGATGTAATATTACGCGGCTGAGTCCACCCCTTGGGAAGAGGCTGGGGAGGAGATGGGGAGTAGTGGAGGAGGGGGGAGGATTGGGTAGTGGGTGAGGGGGGGAGTGGGATTAGTGTGGGCGAGAGTGGGAGGTTGACTGTGGGGACATGGGGAGGGAGAGAAGGGGGTTGGGGGTGGGTGAGGGAGGGGGGGAAGTGGGTGAGGATTGGGAAGTGCATGAGGGAAAGAAGTGATTGGGAAGTGGGTTTGAGGGAGGGGGGGTGGGGAACGAGTAGTCGAGGGAGGGGGTGAGAGGGAGTGGTTAAGGGGGTGAGAAGGAGTGGTTGAGGGAGGGAAACAGGGTGTGGTTGAAGGTAGGAAAGGGGGTGTGGTAGAAGGAGGGGATGGGAGGGAATGGTTGAGGGAGGGAGAGTCATGATGAACTCAGAGAAAAGGATTTTTTTTATTAGTTTAACAAATTTATTGACAAAGCTTGTAGTACAGTTTGCCTATTGTGAGTAATTCAGTCAGGTCTTGACACTTCTTACTGCCACGCAGGACAGAGGTTCATACACAAAGAAATACATCATATTCATTAGCAATATATATAGGTCAGAGTCATGTGGGTGATGTCACTGTTCACTGCCATGCAGGACAGAGGTTCATATACATTGGACGTCATATTCTAATTGAAGACTAATCAGTGTGGGCTAGCAAATTTGGGATAAACAGCAAGAATATCCTAAGCACCCCCGATTCAACCCAATAGTCAGGGTGAACCAAGGCGAACCAGAGACTCAAGCATGAACCTGAGTGAACCAAGATGAACCATTGTGAACCAAGATGAACCTCCACTGGATGAGAGTAACTATTAGTTAGGAAGAGCTTGAGGTAGCTTGGTCAGCATGGGAGACTAATATGAGCTGTCACGGAACTGGTGTGTGACGGTGAAGGATAGCCCGGAGAGACGAAAGGAAAAAAGGTGAGAAATTAAAGTGTGGTGAGGGAAGATTAAACTCTTTATGCAGAAACGTAAGAGAAGCAGAAAGAGAAAGAAAAGAAGAAAAATAATGAGAGAGTAAGGAAGGAAGTAGGAAGAGGAATAAGACGAAGAGAGGAATTTAAGAATGGAGGAGATAAGAGGAAAAAGAACGGGAAGAACAATTTGCTGAGAAAGAGAATTGGAAGATAAAATGGAAGTGAAATTGTCGAGATGAAAAAGTAAACACAGGAGAAAAAAAGAAAAAAATGGTGAAGGGAAAAAGGAAAGTAAGAGGAAGAAGATGGAAGAAGAAGCAGAGAAGAAGAGGAGAAGAAGCAGTGAGAGAAAAAGTAAGATATGAGAGGCAGTGCGAGTAAGAGAGGAGAGGAAGGAAGAGTAAGACGTGAGAGGAAGAAAGCAAGAGTGAGAGGTGAGAGAAAGGGAGAGTAAGAAAGTAAGAGTGAGACGTGAGAGGAAGGAAGAGTAAGACGTGAGAGGAAGCAAGGAAAAAAGCCAAGAGAAATGGCCTGGCCGGGACCTCCAGCCTTGAGTTAGTAAATCACACTGCCCACCCAGGACCGCCGGGAGGAGGAGGAGGTACAGTATTGGTGGAGGAGGAGGAGGAGGTACAGTATTGGTGGAGGAGGAGGAGGAGGTACAGTACTGGTGGAGGAGGAGGAGGAGGAGGTACAGTACTGCTGGAGGAGGAGGAGGAGGAGGTACAGTGGTGGAGGAGGAGGAGGTACAGTGCTGGTGGAGGAGGAGGGTACAGTACTGGTGGAGGAGGAGGAGGTGCAGTACTGGTGGAGGAGGAGGGAGGAGGTACAGTACTGGTGGAGGAGGGAGGAGGAGGTACAGTGCTGGAGGAGGAAGGAGGCCTGAGTACTGGTGGAGGGAGGAGGAGGAGAATTGCAGTATTAGTGGAGGAGGAGGAGGAGGTACAGTATTGGTGGAGGAGGAGGAGGTACAGTGATGGTGGAGGAGGAGGAGGAGGTACAGTATTGGTGGAGGAGGAGGAGGTGCAATTACTGGTGGAGGAGGAGGAGGTACAGTACTGGTGGAGGAGGAGGAGGTACAGTACTGGTGGAGGAGGAGGTGCAGTACTGGTGGAGGAGGAGGAGGAGGAGGTGCAGAGTACTGGAGGAGGAGGAGGAGGTACAGTACTGGAGGAGGAGGAGGAGGAGGAGGAGGTACAGTACTGGTGGAGGAGGAGGAGGAGGAGGAGGAGGAG